AACTTTATAGGCAAGTTATTTCTATTCTGAATAAAATGTTCATGAACTGTTTTGTTGTATGTAACAGAGCGTTAAAGATATTGGTACAGTGATAGAAAGGCATAGTTTTGAATCATATTTTGAAATAAAGCCTAGCTGTAGTCTTAGCTGTAGTTTATGGACGTCCCAGAATTTCAGCCTGGGGGATGATGGTTGGAATGAGTACTCCCATAAACAGAGTATTTTTTTAGCTGATCTCACTAGTGCTATTTTGGAAATGGTAAAACACAAGATTGGTTGAATAAGACAGTTGCCCATCTGGTGGGTAATAAAAATATTTTTTTAGAGCATGACAGATGAAAATTTTGTGCTGTCTCATGTTTGCTATGAACCAATTTTCAATGTTTTGTTTATTGAATTCCATCATCAATAAGGACATCTAGGTTTTTCATCAATTTTAGTAGCCAATGTAGGCCAATTCTAAAATTCAATAGAAACATTCCGATGAATTGCTTCAACCTATAGAAAGATGAATGCATTTTTTTCTCTACTGTTTTTCGGTAAATGAAAAACTTGGGCAAGCTATAATTCCCTTCTTTTGACTATAAATTCACTTTCATTTCCCACATAAATTAGGCTATTTCATTAGCGAATCGAATGTTGGGCTTTATTACAAGAAGTATAAAAGAGTTCAAGAATATTAATATGATTATAACACTGTTTAACGCATATGTGAGGTCTAAACTAGAATATGGCGTGTTAATTTGGTATCCAGTTTACAATTGCCACATATTGATGCTGCCCAAAAAAAAATTAAAATAACTGTCTTTCAAGATCACGGAAATATATCAATTAAAACAAAAAAGATTTTATATTGTGCTTTCGTAAGATCCATTCTTGAATATTGTTCGGTTATATGAGACCTATACTATGATGTAAATATTGATTTGGTTGTGAATGTTGAAATGAAATTCTTAAAGAATTGTGCTTTTCACTTTGGTATTCAACGAAATGAATATGAGTACGGTCAACTTTTAACCAAGTTAAGTATAAAATCATTGAAAGATAGGAGAATTTCTTTGAACTTGAGTTTCCTCTTCAAATTGATAAATAGTGACATAAACTGCCCAGAACTACTTCAAGTAATAACATTTCATAATAAACAAAAAGATATCCTGACATTTTTCATATAAATTTTTTCCATACCAATTATGCTTTGAACAGTCCGATGCCTCGTATTTTGAAGCTGGAAAATCAATATCATAATAACTTAGATCTGTTTAATGTTTCACTTCTGGTCTTTAAAAATAAATTGAAAAGGCTATAGCGTTTTCGAAGCTTTTCTTACCTCACCATTTTCTTTGTAAGTACCAGATTTGTTACTTTTTTTTTGTAAGTACCAGAATTGTTTCATCTTTTAGTAATATAGTCCCTAGACATAAGGATTTATTGATTTTTGGGAAAGAAAGGTTTTGGCTTTCTACTACTTCATCTTGATATAAAAAAAAAAGAAGAATGAGGTGTATACCAGTGAGGATTGCAGTGTTCTATGTAAGTGCAATTTGTTACCAATCATTTAAAGTAGAACTCATGTGAATGATATCTGATTTTTATTTCACAACGAATATTTGAAATACAAACTGAGTAGAGAAAAGTATCTTCTGTATAATGCAGTGTTCATATAGGAGTATTTGTTTTAAAAGAATTTTTTCTTTCGTATAATTCAATGTTTATATGAAAGTAGCTGTTTCAGGAGGACTTTCTTTCAGTTCGTGTCTGAAAGTTACTTCTTTGCATGATCTACATATCCATGTATAGAGTTACTTCCTTCCTTTCTTTGGAAGACTCCCTCATCCTTCTTTTTTTTTGTATCAAGATGGAGTAGTAGAAAGCCAAAAACTTTCTTTCCCAAAAATTAATCACTCCTAAAAAATATAACCCCTTCAATTCAGATTTATTGATATTTTGTACTTCACACTTTGCTAAATGTTTTGTAAAATTGTAAATTGTAATGTAGACATCAGACATGAGCATTCAAAAATACTTTGTAGTTCCTCAGACTTTGTTAAATATACTTTTGTAAATTGGCTTTGCCTTTGAATAAATAAATAAATAATAAGGTCTCATGTGCCCCTTTTTTACAAATGATCAACTTCCTACCCCACGCCTGAATTCCAGAAATCAAACATTTTACTGTGATCTTGGAATAACAAATAACAGTTTCAAAGCACCAGTGTCAATAATTTGTAACAACTACAATTCAATCTGTGATAAGTGCGATATTAATGTTAGTTCTCTAAGTTATATTTTAAAATATATTCTCACTAGAGCCTTTCAACTGTGATCTCTTTTACTTCTTTTTCTCTCCTTCTTGTGATATATTCTGTATCTATTTATTGTCTTTTAGATGTAGCTAATTTTTCTATTTAAGTAATTACCATGATTTCCATATATTTTTCATCAACACCTTTGTATATTTCCTGTAGGAAATAAAGTGCTATCTAATCTAATTATGCAACATCTTTTCAATGTGAATTTGTGCTTATTTCTCTTTGACAGCAATAGACAATTCGGACAATTATTGACATTTTTTCAGTGACTCAATGTTCATCAAGGTTTTTCTAATAAACATCGAGAAATACATGTGTCTTGATACAAGGCCTGTGATAATTGGTTGTTAATCAAAATAGGCGACTTCTGGCTAATTTAACCAACCTTTTAAGTCATACCATATCCGAAATGACATGAGTAGGGTAAGCTAAAAAAAGCAATCTGTATGTGTCAAGTTGATGATATCTTCAGATGATGAACACTTAATGTAAATTTCCACATTAGAATAAAATATTACTACAAATAAGGAGATATAAAATATATGGAAAAAAAAACGATGAAAAAAATCATTAAAGAATAGTACTGAAACAAATAAAATTAATACAGATCCAAATGAAAATATCCATTTTCCTAGCAGATATGGCTTATGCATCCCATTTAGGAATCGAGCTGCTATTAAAGCACTCTATATCCTCTGCTTTCCTAGCTGTTAAACTTTTAAATTATAGAAAATCTTTAGAATAGAAGTTTAGTTCATAATAATAAAAAAACTGCAGTTTGTTGTAAATAATAAAACACATTCCTCTATAAAATGTATAGAACAGAAAACTACATGATCATCAAACAAGACAGCTCAATAATCTGTTAACAAAAAATCTCAAATCTGCATTTTCCAGAAAATCTATATTTTACAAAGGAATAATTACATATATTGATGAATTACCCAATGAGGGTAAAAAAAATCCAACACAGAAAAATTCAAAATGGCATTAAAGAAGTTTCTTTTTGAAAATCAATTAAAATTTTTTGTTTTTTTTTGTTATTGATTAGACCAATTCTGAAATAGCTCCCTTTGAAGGTATATATTTATTTATGAATATTTCTCATTCAAGAAATATTCATGTATGAATAATTTCCTTCTATAAACCTTTTATGTTTCTTGGGAAAATAAATCGTTTTCATTATTATAGATAGTAAGTAAATAATATTATATTTGTGAAGTATATGTTTGTGTTCCAGTCTTTGGGGAGGGGCTGTAATACGTTAGCTCCCTCTCCGCAACCCAGTATGCCAACGATACATTTACAAATACCTAGGAACATTATCTGCATACTAAAACACCTCTTCAACTAATTATGTCCAAGTGATCAGGAATACAAATTCATCTGAATATATAATCGATTGATTCAATCATATTTTCAACATTGAATATGATTTGGAAATTACCAAAAAAAATTTTTATTATAATATATAGTGAGTAAATGATATTATATTTGTGAAGTAAATGTTTGTGTTCCAGTCTTTGGGAAGGGGGAGGTGCTGTAACCCATTAGCTCCCTTCCTGCAACCCAGTGTGCCAACGATATTCTTACCAATATCTAGGAACATTATTAGCATACTATTAACCTCTTCAACTTATTTTGTCCGAGTGATCAGAAATATAAGTTCAACTGAATATATAATCAATTAATTCAATCATATCCCTCAACAGTGAATACGAATTGGAAATTACAAAAAAAAATTAGGTATTATTATCATTATGATATATATTGAGTGAATAATATTATATTTGTGGGGTAAATGTTTGTATTCCAGTCTTTGGGGAGGGGCTGTACCCATTAGCTCCCTCTCTGCAACACAGTGTGCCAACGATATACTTACTAATAGCTAGGAACATTATGAGCATACTATTAACCTTTTCAACTTATTTTGTCCGAGCGATCAGAAATACAAGTTTAACTGAATACATAATCAATTAAATAAATCATATCTTTGAAATTGAATATGAATTGGGAATCACAAAAAGTTTTAGGGTTAAAAAAAATTGATTGAGTAAGTTGGGAATAATTACACTGATGGTAAGTCAAACTAAATTGGTACACTGTAATTATTAAATGTGATAATGAGAGGAGATAACATAAATATGACAGTACAAATTTTCAACAAATAATTGAAGATAAAAAGATTAATTGTATTTTATAGAACAAGTGAGCCTACCAGAAGACCAGAGAAAAATGAGTTTCACATGTATCAACATTTTGTATTGTTGTTGTAACAACTCTATTAAAATATTGTTGTTTATATTTGTTTCAATACCTTTACTTTGTAAGGATTTCATAGTTTATTGGTTAATGTTTATAGGAATAGATTTATACAAATTTAACATTCTGAATATTATAAACTTACTATTACTGCTACTAATGGTAATAAAAGATATTCATACTGAAAAAGAGATATAATAATTTGATAAATTGTTGAAATGTTCAACAGAATAGGCTTCTCACCCTCTGCAATTATTTTCCTTCCCCTTTCTCTAAATATCATTCTCCTCTCACGTTATTTTAGATGGAAAAAAATATATAAATAAAGCTTAATTCCCATTTGTTTATTATACATACATCATGACCATTATATATGTACCTTACTTATAATCAATGATCAATTATTATTGAACAAAAAATCATACTTACTCATAACAGAGCGGCTTGAGCTACTATAGTTTCGGTCTGAATCCCTGTCTCTGTCTCTGCTTCTGAAGCGATCTCGTTCCCTCTCCCGTTCTATCCATTCTCTGGGCTTCTCCCACTGAGATACTTCTGTTTTACAATTATAATAATACTTCTTGCCAGACGAGCTAACATGTTCTGACCAATCACCCACTCTAACAACCCTATCTCTATCTTCTCTCTGAAAAAAGAAACAGGATAAGTAGGCGACTCATCAATAACATTGAACTTCTTGATAAGAACAGATAATAGTCAAAATTATGACAGATAAACTTTATCACTAAAAAAATAAAAAAATTCGTAACGAAACTGTAGCTGTGTTGATGAACAAATTGAAACTTGCAAAACTTACCTTATCTACACAGTTATTATGCATCGGTTTTCTGTCTCTAGAAGAAATCTGAGATGATTTTATCGGATGCAAAATGTTCTTTTCATCAATTCTATCGGAACTAACTTTGTGTTCAGAATCTCGACTGCGTTTGTCCTTTGGTGACCTGGCACAATCTGTAATATAAGTATTATTTTCATAACTCTCAAGGTAATAATATATATGCAGTCAATGCAGTCAAGCTGCTCGAAATTAATTCCATAAAAATCAAAATATGAATAGATAAGTACTTTCTGATCATTCCCATATTGATTTCAATTTAAGAGCCACCGGTAGACAGCTGTTTCAGCCTATTGGGCATCGTCAGTATGTGGCAACGCCGCAATGCTGAAAATATTTTAAATCGATAGAACAGATAAGGAAATGTGAGAGGCTAAATTTTCAGAAAAATCATGCTTTGCGTTTTCCAAAAACGTCTAACCTACCATCGACTGTGAGTCACGCTGTAGAGTGGCACAGTAAAGATAAGAATACTCTCAGCCAATTGATCTCTACAGATCTAGCTGAAATAAAAAAGTGGTGCGATGCCAATTGCACCAATCATTAAGTGAAGTTGCTGAGAACATTACGAAAACTAAGTATGTGGTGGATCTCGTCAAAGTGAACAATTTTTTCTTATAAAATGTTCATCGAAAAATGATTCTTTTTTGAAATATAAATAACTAAAATTACAAAAAAGTTATGATAAAAACCAACCATGTTTTGAAAAATTTTAACAACTTGTATATTGAAAACGAATGATTTTTCGATAAACATTTTAAAGAAAAAAGTTGTTTATTTTGGTTGATCTCGTCACAGCGTGCGCAGCGCCCTCTAGATGTTACATGAAAATTCATACAAAATTATGATTTCCCATGTCAAAAAAGCCCTGGGTGCCAAATTTCGTGCAAATAACTTATTTTTTGCTAAAGTTATTTTTAAAAAACAAACAAAAAAATTCAGTTTCGACACCCTTTATCTCCGAAACAAAGCATTTCTGGACACAGGAATACGTCACTTGAAAATTTTAACGTACTTATGTTACATCCTGTATAATTGAGAGAACAAAACATTCTCAAGTTATTTTTCAAGGCAAGATCAATATGCAGAAATATCTTACCTGAATACTTGTCCCTGGACATTTTATAGTCTCTGTTTTCTCTCTCCTTTTCACGGATTTTCTGTATATAGGAGTTCTTCGATTGATATGATCTTTCACGATCCATAGGTGATTGCGAATCTGGGCTGTCCGATCGATAATTTCCATTGGGGGAATCACGGATTCTCTCGTACCTGTCACTGCTGGATCCATAACTTTTTGACGAACTGTACTTCGAACTCTGAAAAGAATCAAAAATCAAAATAAAATGAAAATGCTTCAACAGTAACTTGAACTATTTTATGATTTTGCCTTTCAAAAAAGACGCTAAGATTTGCACAGATATGTACTGTTTCAAAAGTCAAAATATACTTTCATTCTTAGAACTAGCTAGCAGTTTTTGTTCTTCGACAGATGCCAAAAGAGTTTTGAAATGTGATAGGCAAAAGTATGAAATATGACAACTACTGATAAATAACATATTTTCGTTTTCCTTCGTCAAAAATGCATTAAATTTACACTCGAATTTTTTGGGAAAACTAGAAGTTTGTCCTTTCTACACCAGTATGATGTTTTCCATTACAATTTTCATTTTTTCAGATTGTGGAAGGAGGAAATCCCCAGAAAGATCCATAAACAAACTGATTTCCTCCACAAAAAATGACATTTCTTCAATATTACTATAGAATATCTCCAGCTTTTAGAAGGCTATATAACCAACAAGGATTTTTTCAAAAAACTAGCAAAAACTGAGGATTCAAAATGTATTGTTTATAAGGTGTTTTAATTTATAACACAGAAACAACTGAAATGATTAAATGAAAAAACATAATATGGTTCAAATGAAAAAGTTCATGTGATGGTAATTTGGTCCTCTTCATTTGATTCTCTATTTCTTACCCATAGAAAAATGCCCATGCATGTCAAGACCTTAATGTTTTTTATTATATATATATATTAAGATTGGCACCTCACAAATCATTTGATTTGATTGATTTGAAATTTGAGTAAAACCGGTATAAAAACCCTAACTACTGTATAAATCCCATCTGCTTATTATTAAAACCAACTAAAGACTATCAGTTCAGTATATGAAAAAATATTATCTTATCTTTCTCCATAGAGAGACTAGTTCTTATGTTATTTTTTATTTCTGTGATAATATTTGGATATTTTCACAAACCACATTAATGTACAGTGTGATCAACAAAATGAAAACAAATAGTATTATCTGACTACTGTTTCCATTACCTGAAAAATCCTAATAAATGAGCACTTCTTATACATATAATTACCCCAACAATAACTTGAAAGTAATAAAAAAGAATTGTATCTCCTTATATGTTATTTTAATGAAGTATCACAACAATATTATCATATCTCGAATATACCTACACAGTAGGTTGAATGGACTGACGCCTATCAGAAAATAACTACTCCCCCGGCTAATACCACGAAGGGCGTTGTATCCTACCTAGTGTGTAGGTATATTCGAGACCGGCTTGAACGTTTAAAGTTAATTTCTTTAGGTTTGTTTACTGCCAGTCTTCAAGCATAACCCACTGACTAATAAGAAAGTTTTTCTTCCTTATTCAGAGGAATCGGGCAAATTACGGATATGCAGTTGGTTAGTACCTCGTCCACTAGATGGAGTGACATTTTGTTGTTTGCTCCAATTTAGGATGAGGAATGAAATACTCTGAAAAAATTCCGATTTTCAATTTTATGTGTTCATCATAAAATATTTCAGCAACTGTTATTTCATAACACTTTGTAGTTAACTATAGTCCCTAATTATAAGCATTTATTGTTTCTTGGCACAATAAACTGAATTGAATTATTTAAATTCTTAGATCTTCTTACACTTTCTTTTATTTATGTATAGATATTTAAAATCTATTCAATCTTAGTGATCGATTTAATAGTAAAACAAACCTCTGACACTGCCCCAATGTGCCAGTGCGAAGTTATATTTTTTTAGAAAAGTAGGGAGTGATGAATGCTTTGAATGAAGTGAGAGTAATTGTCTTTGTGGTCTTTATATTTCATATCTGAGAATACCTACAATATATGTTATTCCTACTAGTTCTTTGATAATTTGTGTTTTTCAAATTATTTTTATAAAATTAAAAACTCAGGACACCACAATATTCACACTCAATGTCTTCCACCCTATACAATACTTTTTTTATTGTGCCTTTTTCTGAAATATAAGAACATAGGCTTTCATAGCCAAAGACAAGATTAGAAAGAACAAAAAATCTGGGCTGTTAGGACATGGTCAAAAGGAACTTCTAATACAAATGTTTCTTCAGTGAAGAATGCACTGACTGCAAGGAAGTATGTAATATCTCAAAGTGTCAGCACGATAACTTTTTTTCTGAGATATTTCACCAAACAGTAAAAACTGAAGATGGCTGTTGTCAACCTGTTGTATTTTGTATGAAAACTGTGTTCAGGCTCTATGATTAATCAAAGGAACAGTTAACTGGAATGATTTGCATGCTGGTGAAGAACAGTTTTTTTTGCTTCTTCTGTATATGCTGCAAAATATCCTTATAGGATAGGATTTGAAATATCGAAAAAAGGCCACATCAATTAAAAAAAGAGCTGTGCAAAAAAATGTTTTGCCACTGCAAACCTTTCAAGTATTAGTCTTGCAGTGGTAGAAAATTCTGAGTTGAGGGTTAGCAAAATGAGCACAGATTTAAAGACATTCAAGTTCTATTTTTTTATTCTCCATTAGATCATACTGAGTATGATATGGAACAGGTCTCAGCATTAAAATTTAGGTATTTAGAGAATATAAGTGTACAATAATAGAAATAACACAGAAGATAAGCTGCTTCTGAAAAGTTTGGAACACTGCTCCGAACCAGAAAACTTTACAAACCTCAGCAACTTTTGACGCTTTAAAAGGCTCAGATTAGACCTTCTTTGGAGTATTTTTCTCGTGTATGGAGCTCCGCCGCTAAGCATACCCTGAAGCGGCTAGATTCCATCCAGAAAAGAGGCATCCGCCTGATTGAAGACGCAAACTACAACCTTTATCGTCCTCAGGGACGACATTCCTCAGAATTATTTAAAAAAGGGTTGAAAATAGAAGTTTTTTGATTGCGTGAAAACATCTGAAATGGGTGTATTCTGCAGTAACAGGTCGGGAAAAGGTGACAATTTGCGAGGTTTTATTACGAATAGTTACTTCCTGGAATTTCAATTTCATTACCCTTTTTCTTAGTAGGTCTTGTTTAATGGATCTTAAAAATGACTTAACGGATCTTAAAAATGACTAAACGCACCAAAAAAGTAGAAATTACTGGTAAATATGGAACCAGATATGGTGCTTCACTTTGTAAGATGGTGAAAAACAGGAAAATTACTAAACACAGTAAATATTCTTGCAGTTTTTGTGGAAAGGATGCCATGATAAGGAGTTTTGTTGGCACTTGGTCTTTCAAATGTTGCAAGCGAGTTCTAGCTGGAGGAGTATACAGCACAACAGCTGCTGCTTCAGTCAGGTCTGCTGTGCTCTAATCAAATCACACCTGCGATATGGTATTGCATTTTAAATTACATTTTTATACTTAAAACTCTATGTTTGTAGCATAAGCACAAGTCCAATGTCTCCGATACTGAGCGCACTATAATACTCCTCAAATAACGAGAAAAAACTTACCTCTCCTCATCCCCCACTTAGAATTAACGAAAAAATCAATAATATATGAGAGTAAAAAGATATATAACAATTTATAGTAAATTCTCATTTTTCTCATAAAAGTTGAAAACAGTATAAAAGGTGAAAAGAGTATATATCCATTAATAATTCTGAAGTTCAATGGAAACCAATTTATGCTTTCATTTATTTTTAATTCATTTTTGTACTTAGAACTAAGTTTTACCTGATAAGGATGGGCTTGGTGCTTCTCGAAGTACCTATAAGAAAAACCAATTACTATGAGAAAATTTCGAAAAAAAAATTGTCAATAAAATTACAAACTGAATAATTTCATTGCCTTGAGGTTGTGTCAAGACCATAATGAATGCCTACCCATCGTTCATCCGCTGAGTTTTCCTTGCATGCATTACCATCAATGCACGTCTCTAGAAAATGTTTGTGGCTTTTACAATAAGCCGCCCCGTCAAATGATGTCATAAAAACAATAATAACGTCTGAACTCTATCAAAAACTAACTTTTCTATCAGACGCCATGTCACATAAGGGAATAATTTGCAGCTCAAAGGCAAAATGCTCTTTAAGTATCATTGGTCGAAAACATTGACGTAAGAACGACAGTGTAGCCAACGCTTACAACAAAACACATGTGAACTAATTTGCACTTATACAGGTCAGGCTTGAGCAACTTTTGAAAAATGTTAATGGTTATGCAAATTCGCTTGAAATTTTGTCACAGTAGAGCCTATATACTATAACAATTTTCAATTGAAGGTGGTTCATTAGCAACGTCGCCCTTGAAGTGATCAACGGATAATCCTCTTATCAACTCTGCAGAGGCGTACCAAAATATTATTTTTATTTATTTAAACACATAGGTAATTACGTAAAAATTGTTATAGTAAGTGGCGCTATCTGGTGTCAATGATAAAACTGATTACATTTTCTTATTATGCCTAATACAGTACTTCAAAAAAACAGAAAAATTTACAAAATAATTATTATGTTCCTTTTACATAGAAAGAAAACTACAAAGCAAAGAAATAATTACCTATGTTATGCTTATGAAGTTTCAGAATCCATTGACTCGTCCGAAGAGGAATCCCCAGTAATACTTGAATCTATTATTATTTGATTGAAAACAGTGTCTATCATCCCGTCCAATCTCCACATTTTTTCTTCTTCCTTGATCACATGGGCTACAGCATTAGTCCAATCTTCTTTCCGTATCCGTTCCATTGCGAGTTCTAATAAACGTTGGACATCAGAAATTTTATATGTCACGTTTTCACGAGCTACGCAACCCTTAATTTGAGCCCAGATTGATTCTATCGGGTTTAACTCGCAATGGTAAGGAGAAAGTCTCAAAATGGT